CCCCTGGCCCCCGTCCTCGGCGGACAAGCTGCGGTTGAGACGGCTGTCTTTGGGCTGGGGGGAAGCCACCAACCTGGTGGTGGTAAAGCCTACAAAGCTGCCGTTGCAGCGTTTGCAGCTCATTTAACAAACTGCTGGTAGGAGCCGCGTGGAAGGAGAGCCTTCTGCTCCGGAAAACCCGGCGTTCCCAACATCCGAAGCGAGAGCAATGGCAGCCGGCGGCTGGAGCGGGGCTGGGGAGCCCCGGGGCAACGCTTGCAAATCCTTGCTGGGTGCTTGAAGTTGAAGCTTTACTTCTGCAGCTTCAAATCCCCCTCCTTGCTTCTCCTCGGGTTGGTGTTTTGCGGAAAGTGATGCTTTCTCGCTTTCCAGAGGTGAAAACCCCTTCAGCTTCAGCAGCAGCGGGCTCTCTCCCGGGCGCTGGGACACCAGGCTGCAGAAGTGCCAGCAGCAGCGAGCCCCTGAGCTTCCGTTCTCTGCCTCTTCCTGCCTTATCCCGGTCGGGTTGTGGTGCGGAAGCTGCCCTCGTCCCTCGCAGTGTCCTGCCATCCAGATTTTGCTGCAAAATGCTTTTATTTCCATCTGCTCTTCCAGCTCCTGCTCGTGAGACAAGGCGCAGGGCGGCTGGTGTCTCCCGCAGGCAGGCGCCTTGGGGTGGGGTGGGTCTCCCTTCTCCCAGGGGGATTTAACGGCCAGCACCTCACCCGTGCATCTTGTAATTGCTGGGTGAAGGGAGGTGAAAGCGCTCTGATTAAACTGCAATAGAGAGCAGATAGCAAATCTGTGATTAGTATTAATAGCACTGGTCAGAGTGTGTTATGCAAATGATGGGGGACTAGACGATTTAGTTATTCATCTTTAACCTTTATTTTTGTTCAGCGTGACCTTACCCATCGAGTCTCTCATTACCATCTCTGGCTGTCGGGTGTACATTCGTTTATGCTGCTGCCATCAATCCAGCAGCTACACCCCTGTTCCCAGCCGGTGACGCCGGGCTGGATGCCCCTCCTTGCGGATGCTCCCGGGGGCTGGTTCCCAGCCCTGCGAGGCGTTGGGGACTCGGGGTCCCGCTCCCCATGTTTTGGGCAGAGCTGGTTACACCAGGTCGTACAGCCCCGCCGCGGGACGCGTTCCCTTCTCTCAGCTCTCCAGCTATGGCTCTAGCCCCATATTCCCTATCGGTTTTGTAGCTGTCTCCGGGTGGGTTTGAGCAGCTGGGGGACATCCAGAGATGCAGATATTCCTGCTTGAG